AAGGTTTCTCCTTATATACAGGAAGCAGACCACATCCCTAAGGCAGCTACTCAGCTGCTCACAGTAGATTCTACCATGGAATTGATTGCCAGTCTCATCATGGGGAATACTACATCCAGCTGTCCAGCCACTCAACCAGGCCCAGCCAAGTTGACACACAAATGCAACTACCACAAGAACTAACACATCTGTCCTGGAGGAAGTGTAGCCAGAATGCTTCTTGGAAGCGAGAATGGCCAAACTCCATCTCACCTCCTTTGGTCATGCCATCAGAAGGGACCATTCCCTGGAGAAGGATATCATGCTTGGTAAAGTGGAGGGTCAGTGAAATAGGGGAAGGCCCTCAATGAGATGGATCGGCACAGTGGCTGCAATGATGGGATCAGGTAAGCAAGGATTGTGCGGCTGGTGCAGGACCGGACAGTATTTCTTCTGTTACACATGGGGTCGCCGTGAGTCAGAGCCAACTCAACGGCACCTAACAACAACCCAGTAACGTGGTGGGAGTTACAAAGACCATGGCTGGAAAAGCCATGACGAGTAGTTCAGTGTTGCACACGCCCCCATTTTGGCTGCTTGTAGAGCTTCCGAATCTGTCAGTGTCAGCCCTAGGGTCATTTCTTCCTGAATCTCTCCTCGGCCCCTCCTCTCCACCCTCCAGGAGTGAACCCGAGCTCTGGGCCTCCCAGGGGGCAGGGGTAGGGCTGTTCTCATGCACCCCGGGTGCCCAGGGCCAGCAGACGGGTCTGGAGAGGATGGAGGCTGGGCAGCTGGGTGGGCCCGAGTCCAGGACTGAGGCTGGAGGCTGGTGGCTGCCTGGGTGGAAGTGTCCCTTTAACAGCTGTCAGCCTGGCCTGGCTTGGACGTCTGCGTTGCCTCCTGCAGGGCTGTGACTGCATCTGCCAAGCTGCTGACTCATGTTCCCTGGCAGACAGCAGGGGCTGGAAGCATGGGCGCCCCAGGAACCATGGCTGGCTGGGGGCTTCTGGATTATAAAACGGAGAAATATGTGATGACCAGGAACTGGCGAGTGGGCGCCCTGCAGAGACTGCTGCAGCTGGGGGTCGCAGCCTACGTGGTGGGGTAAGAGATTGGCTCTTCGTCAGGCCATTGGGACGATCGGCTGCTGGGCCTGGGGTCGAGGGTTGGGCTCCTCAGGGCCTGGGCTGGAAGGGAGCAGGCGGGAGGAGGGATCTCCTTGTCCAGAGGCCAGAGGGACGTAAGAGCAGGCCATGAGCTTGGGCCTATGTGCCCACCTGCCTCCTTCTTAGGCCTTCACCCCGGTCTCCTGTTGGGCTCTGGGCACCAAGCAGGAGAAGCCGCACCTCCAACGCTGGGAAGTGGCCCTGGCATGAGGCAGGACACTTGTAAAGGCTGGACCTTACAGGTCCCCGCCCCTCCAGAGAGGGTTAGTTCTAGTTCAAGGCTAGGAGTGTCTTGATTCTAGTGCTGCTCTGACAGAAATACCACAATTGAGTGGTTTTCATAAACAGGGATTTATTCTTTTACAGTTTGTTGCTGTTGTTGTTATGTGCCTTGGAGTCGGCCTGACTCATAGCGACCCCTCCTTGGGTTGCCGAGGCAGTATCACTAGGGAAGTAGATTGCCCAACCTTCCTTCCGAGGAGTGGCCGGTGGGTTTGAACCGCCAGCCTTCTGGTTAGCAGTCAAGTGCCTTAGGCACTATGCTACCAGAGCTCCTAGAGACTAGGATTTACAACACATCACAAAGTGCAAGATGAAGGGCCACACTAAGCAATTCACTGCCCTGGGCTACCACAAGGAGGGAGCAGGGTCTAGCAAGGCTGGGGTATTGGTGGGGGGCATCCCAGCCTGGGGCACTGGCTTTGGTACGTGGCCGGGGTGTGGGGTAGGAAATGACTCCTGAGAG